TTGTATTGAATTGTACATTGCATTATTGGTCAGAAATTCCCTTTCTTCTAAAATGAATACTGCCAAGCTAATTTTAATGACCTCTCATTTATTTTACAAGTCCATTATTTTGTGGTATTTTTTACATGTTTGAAAATGTGAATATTACTAGCTTTTCCTTTTTAGCGAACAAGATGGGAACAGGTAACAGACCTCTATCGGCATGGGACTTTAAAGAGAATGTAAATGAATTCAAAGGAAGAAAGAGAGCACATGTATTTGTAACATATACATTAAAAAAAAAAAAGGCATTTATATTTATTTTTAATGGTGTTTATGCCCTCTAGTGGTAGAAAACGTTATTACATCTATATTTGCGGAGTACTGACTTTTTTTCTTTAATGTATGCTTCAGTATCAACTGTGTCATCTTTATGGAAGTGCTGCCTTTATTCCTACTATGTATGTCCTATAAAATGTGATTTTGGCTTTGGGGTCCTTTTTAGGATATTATATTTGAAGTAATATGCATTTTCTTAGCTCAACACACATACACATGGTGCATGCACACACACATGCTGCTAAGCAAAAACATCTGTGAGTCATTATTTTACTTTCAAAAATACACTTGCTTCATATTTGAAAAAATATATTTTTCTGATCAAAGATACAAATAGAATTGAAATGAGCATCATTGTCCCTCACATTCATTTAGAATATTAAAGAAAAGTCCATCAATGTTCATATGAAGAAGAATGGTCAAAAAAACCCTGACTTGATTCGATTATAATTCAGACCAATATCTGAGGTCTTCTGCCTTAGATTCATCAAAAAAAAAGTCTTCATTAGATTTAGGAATAATTAAAAATCCCACAATGCTGATCATATGGTCTCTGTTGTCTGAGATTTCTTGAATTACGGGGATGTGACATTAGATATATTTCATTCATTAGTCAGAATAGCAAAATCACTTCAGTAGGTGGATATCAATGGATAAATTTTGATGACCTCATAGGTCACAAAATGTAAACACAAATACATTCATATTTCCAAGGTCCTGTAACAGCCTAGCCTTTTGTGTGCTTTACAAGCTGCCTTTCCCCCAAATCTGTCATGCAAAGCTATAAGAAGTCCTGCCCATGTTCCTCAGACTGGTATTCTGAAAGATCCAATGTTCTTTTCCTTCTCTCACAGTAAGAAGTCAAACATGACCCTGTTGAATGCAAAAAACAAACACACCTGTCATTAAATCCCTCCTCTTGCAGGTCCCTGTTAGTGAACACAGGCCACCTACTTGCAGAATGAAAGCAGTACCACCACTGGCAAGCCTGGCTTGTCCTTGTTCCGGAAAAACAAGGCACTGCTTTGATCATGTAGTTTCTGACTTGTGATTTGATTGACACATCTCCTTTTCATTTGCCTTTCCTGGTTAATGAAACAGATTATATGCCATTGATAAGAGGGACTGGTATTAAAACACCTTTTCTTCACTCACCCGCAACATGCAATATTGTGATGTTACCTTTGATGTTACAAAATTAGATTGTCAGTACAAATAATACAGACCCAAACACTAACCTGAACTTAGCCCACAAGAATAGACAAATGTGGAACTCACTATAAAGCTATAAAAAGACTTCAGCTGGAAGAAAACAGGCAGAGGAGAATAAGCTTGTGGTTACAGTCTAAGTAACAAGGAGACAACTAGGGCAGGCATAAAACCTTGAAATAGCTCTCTTTTGAAAAGTTACTCTGTGAAAATTGCTTAATGAGATTTCATATTTATTGTGTCTCCATGACAGAAGAGATCAGATTTTCTGCAGAAATCAAAATTTGTTTTAGAGATCAAGTATAATTCTTCCACTTTGAAATGAAAGCACTGCCAAGCTACCCTTGCCATCTGAAAATGGAGTTACATTCTTTTCTTGTTCAGACTTTCCTAGGATGAGAGTAATAATAGATGGGTAAAGAGAGAAGTTTTTCTTTCATTTTATGCTACCAGTTCCACTGATGGTAGCAAATACGTTTCTCAGTCCGTGCAGGAACCCTAATTTATTGATAGCCTTATTTTTTCTGATCTTAATCTCATTTAAACTTTTCCATCACAGTGTTCATCAACAGGACAATATCTAATGATATTAGAGTTCTTAATAATAGGAAGGATGTTATTCACACTAAACAATGGACAAAAACGAATCACATTTGGGAACTGACATGTTTTAAAGCTTATTCAAGATGAAATGGAAAAATGATCAAACACAAGTTATTTCAGAGAAAGCAATAAAAAATTATGGAAAGTATCCACCTGTCACTTTGAAAACATGGAGGAAAATATACTTCATATACTAAACAACTCTATTTTTTATTTTGTTTTTTTCATAGTACTGTGATACTGTGAAAAGACATCTCTCTATTTCACTAGGTAGTTCCAAACTCATACATGCTGAAACATTAAAGATGGATCAGCTATTAGTTCCTATCATCACTTCTAAAACATCAGTCTGTGGTAGGTTCATATAATTATAATGCCACATTGTCAATAGGATGAAATATATCCCTGAGCAACTTCAAAGTAAATGAATTAGAAATGTCTTCTGCCTACAGTAGCCATTGGTGACAATTCAACGTTATATGGATTCATCAGTTTTGTATTGGAAGTGATAATTTTAGGTATATAAATATAGGTTTAGGACTAATACAAGAAATCTGTTCTAGTAGTGCTAGGTGTGTGTAAATATTGCATTAAGTTGAAGTAGTATCAGGTGTATGTAAACATATATTGTCTTTTAAATGGCTTGTTGATGATATATTTTGCTTTTATTTTAAGAAAAGGCTCAGATCGTATCAGAATAGATTAAGTAGAATAGTAGCTGTTATTGTAAAACAATAACAACTACTGGAGATTTGATTCTAGGACTTATCCTACCCTAAGCAAGAATCATGTCACCCAGCACACTACGTAACAAGTGTTCACAGCCAAGTTGTCACTGGCGTTGGGCAGCCACTTCCATCAAGCCAGCCACATGCACTTCCCCTTGCTCTTCTCCAACCCTAAGCTCAGGGCTAGGTTTGCCTCTTGGCCTGAAATCTGAGCGTTGAGAGTCCCATTCATCAAAGGGACCCTGAAAAGTTATTTATGCATTTCCCTGCCCAAAGAAAGAACAGTTGGGCATGAGCCATTCCCAACAGTTTCTAGTCAGCTCTGTGTTGAGGAAGCAACAAAATTATCTAGGTGGTGCAGTGAAAATGTTAATATGATGGGAAGTATGAATTCTAGTATTTTTCTAATTTTACACATGCTGTAATTGAGACCATCTATATGAATTTTTTATAAGATGGATTTTATTTCATAATATCTTTTTATCCATTTCTGCATGTCACAAAATCAGCAATTAACAGTATTTGAATTTTGAATAAGTGGAGGATGTTACTAGTGCAAATATTGATGTGTTTTTTTCCATTAATATTTTGCACTAGGATATGCCTTGTAAAGCAATGGAATGTGCAGGGGGTTTTTGTTGTTGTTTTGATTTTTTTGTAATGTAACCCCGGTCAATACTCGAAGACTTGACCATCTTTATTATTTCTGCCTGGATTGTCACATTTTGAATCTTGCCATTAAACAAACACCTCTTATGTTACACAACTCGAACAATTCATCTTCCTGTTGATACATGACGTCTCATTGCTAGAAGTTGTTGTCAAACTCCTTACAGTTTCTCAGTAGTCTGATATACTTGTCTCTTTAGTTCTCTTCCTAGAGATTAGGTGCAGAATGTGTGCTTTAAAGATGCTGCCAATCTTCTCTACTATCTTTCTAATTCCTACTGAACAAACAGGTTTAATTTTCATGATATCACTTTCTAAATGGTGCAGTTATATTCCTTACCTTATCTTATGTTAAACAGCTTGTAAATTCTTTGCAGTTGAGAATGTGTCATCATTAAATGATTTATAAACTCTTGAAATAGAGATTGTGTCACCTCTCTGTTCACAAGCATACTAGATAAAATTACATGATACACCAATATTTAATAATAACTTAAAATCCATTGAAGTTAAAAGCAGAAAGGTACTTGAAGTAATTTAACTTTTTATTAAACTCTGTAGTATGTAATTACATACTTGTTCTGTAGAGTACGGCAGTCTGCAGACTGCAGAACAGATACTTCCTAATAAACTGTCATTGGAATGCCTCTATATGCTACTCAGCATCACTGTGTTCCTTCTAGCTGTACAGAGAAATATCCAAGGTCATAAAAAGGCAGTAGGTTCAAGCTCTGGTAATTCTGAACACTGTTAGGATTTGTAGATAGAACTCTTTTGGTTGCTTACTTGGGTCTTGAGTTTGTTGGGGAATTTTTTTGAGTCAGTGAAAAAAATATTTGATCCTTCAAATCATAGAAAAGTTGGTTGGAAGGAATTGCAGGAATTCAGCTAGCCTGACTTCCCACTCAAAGAAGGACTCCCAATAACACTACACCAGGTTAGCCATGTCTAGGCAAGTTTTGAAAATCTCTAAGGATAGAAATTCCACTATCTTTTAGTCCTGTTCCAATTATGTGCTGCTTTCCTAAATTAAAGTACTCACTAAATGGTGAAGCAATAGATTATTCAGCTTGATATCTAACTTACCAAGTGGTCTCCCTAGGATCTTGCCAGAGTCACTGAAAAGTGATGAGTTCTTCTAAAGAGTAAAAAGCTCAGGGACTTTTCTTCATTAGTACATTTTTACATTAGTACAGACTCTCTGTGTCTCTCTGCCTGAGAAGACTAGAGAAGGTAAAATAAAGACACAGTCAGTCTGATGGACAGAATACCCACCATTAGCTTGAAACGAAAAATGCGTGTGTACATAGCACTGGGCATGCAGTATATGTGTGGACAGGTGTATAAGGTATTATTTACCTATATAAGCATAAAGGATTATTTGCAAGATGAGTTTATGTAATTAGTACAACTTGAAATTCAACACTTCAGAAGAGTTTTATCTTTTCTAACATTTTGTTTCCTTTTGCCTAGGTATGGCGACATGGTGCCGAAGACAATAGCTGGCAAGATTTTTGGTTCAATATGCTCTCTGAGTGGGGTCTTGGTCATTGCTTTGCCTGTTCCTGTAATTGTCTCCAACTTCAGCCGTATATACCACCAGAACCAACGAGCAGACAAGCGCAGGGCACAAAAGGTGAACTCCTATCTCTCTCTTCCTCTTGTGTTGTTGAGCAGTAGACAAAAGATAATATTTTAGATGCTGTGTGTCCTGAAAATGTATATTTTTAACAAAACTATTATATGCATACGCTACATGACTAGTGTCAGCCTCAGATGTAGATGTTATAATGTTTTAATGAAGAAAATGGTTCATTTTTCTTCTACCTCAAAAGCACACCTCCGTTATGATGGTACTTCATTGTACTTGCAGAGTCAGACTAGATCCAGCATTTTCAGACAATAGCTGCAGCCTCATCTACTGAAGATATTTTCTGTATTTTTTCAGACAGACTTTCTTTCCTCCAGAGATTTCTGAGGAAAAACAAAATCTAATCATTATTTCTAATGTCTGTCTTAACTGTCTGTTTCACTTAGTCCATGTGTTTAACTACCAGATTCAATCTCCAGGGGATCTGATTATGGGGGACCTTGTTTCCTCACCTCAGTTTTGATTAAAATACTTCAGAAAAAGAGCTTAATCAGGAAAAGACAAAAGCAAAAGTCTATTTCTTTGACTTAGTGGGTATCTCACTAGGAGGATATCAAGTCCTGTGACAACATACTTTCCCTCCCTGCCCCATCTGGGCAAGGTGACGAGCTAGGAAGAACTGTATGGAACCTAGGAAGAACAGAAAAGATGCAGCCAAACCTCAGCACTCACCTTTCCTTGCCAAAATACCAACCACTGCCCACTTCGCCCAGCCCTCTAGTGGGAAACAGGTCAGATAGCACCTGAACCCCTGATAATGGTGGGACTTGGGATACAGCAGACATTACTAGGGTCAAGGTGTCATGCCACTTGATTTGTGTGTGTGGTTCCATGGCCTCTCTTTACCGTTAAGGTGACCTTGATTCTGTCTAAACTTCAGGAATTCTTCATCCCTCTGTGAGCTCAGATCCTGTCTCTCCAGCAATGAGCAGGCTATGACCGTGGAAGACGCACATAGACAAGGGGCACACAACTCACAACAGGGTGTCTACTCATACTGGCGAAGCACTTGGACTGGATGAGCAAAATGATTGTGTTTTCTTTCTGGCGACCTTTTTGACCAGATTCCTCCATACAGAGGAACAGAAATAAATGTATAGAATGAAACCATTCCTGGAGTGTTTTAGAATCAGGCCTTCAGGGGTACATGGCCAAGAAATTCAGAAATAGGCCTGAGCTGAAGATATTGTACTCCCACCCACAAGATAGCCACATCTTGGAAGGATGCTAACAGATGAGAAAAGTCACCATAACAAAAATTGCCAATAACACAGAAATGCAGTGCCTTTCTTGTTGCAGACACTTGAAATTCTAATGTCAAATAAAGGTTGCTTCAATGATACAGACATGATATCTCACCTATTCACTAGTTCTACATATCCTTTTTGCATTTTATTTTGTCCCATGTGTTAGCAAATAACTGTATTTTCCTGCCTCCTGCAACTGAAAAATTCAGAAAATACACTACTTTTACACCACATTCTTTTGTACAGATTTTTTTCAATTCTGTTTATGTAATCGCAGAAGAGAACAAAAGAATAGTATCCATCAAAAACAACACAGTGCTTCTTTACATTGCCTCCAAGTACTGTGATAGCCATGGATAACGGATCTGTTTGATCCCAGCAATCAATGTGTCTGAGCTTTTATAATAACTGGAAAGAAGGGAACCAGACAGAAACTCTCTTGCTGCATGTTGTAAAACCATATTTTATAAGTCTGTTTGCACTTACAGTGAGAACAAGATGGACACTAAAAAATTTCTTGCAAAAATTAGATCTGCAGAGGGTCTCATAGTCTTCCTGCATAAAACTGACTGAGCTAATAACTGACTTTTTCTCATCCCAGAACAGTGAGTTCATCATACATTAAAAACTGGAATATGAAGTGATGAAATCAGTCTTACAAGGTGTCTTTTCCTGTATTTCTCAAAGCAATGCACAGTTAGGATGAAAGATAACCATGTTTATCCTTGGAGAAAATGGCTTTGATTTCTGCTTAACTTGTCACTGGATATGTCTGCTCCATAGATATCTCCTATTGCAAACTTAACTTTCTATCTCCATCTAAAACGAGTTACAGGATGAAGCAATTGGAAATGATTTGTGAAATGATTAAAAAAGTCAATGTTAATGAAAAAAAAGTCCATGAGAAGGACCTCTTGGCTCAGTCCATATGTAGCAATGTGTAGCTGTATAAGAATATTCAAACAAAAAGATCAAATCCTTGAAGTTCTAAGTTCCTGCCTCTTTGAAGACAATGCTTGGAAGACAGAGATTTTTATTTATAATATATCCCATTTCGAGTATATTTTAAAAGATGGTCCTTCTTCCAATCATGGAATTACGTTGCCATAAAAGGAATACTGTAGTATGTCTACAGACATCAGCATAAAGAACAGTCATCTATGCTTATTTTATCATTCAGTAAGGTAAAATGATTTGACCTACTCTGTCAATAAATAAATCACCCCAAGTAGACATGGAAATTAACATTCAGGAAAGAATTAATTATGCTTTTTAGTGTTGCTATGATCCTTCCTCAAGCGGATATATCACAATGGAGAAGACTATCCTGAAAAAGACTATTTCCAGAGCTTTCCTCAGCTAGTCCACTGGGTAGCTACATACATACATACATGCATACATACTACCCACTTGGGCTGGGCTTTTGGTCACAAAATAGCATCTTGGCTGCAGAGTCCGATCCCACATATTGCAACACTTTTGACATGATAATCTTGTCCCTGAATGGAGCATCTCTTGCTGGATTTACTCCCTGTTTTCCATCCAGCCATTTTTTCTGCATATTTTGGAGACAGGAGTCTTCTATCCTCTTGGTCAAGAAATCCTAAGGACAAATGCATCTGTTCATTATTGTTCATTTCCTGATAACTGGAGGACCCTTAATTTCAGTTGCCCAAGCACTATCTCCCTAGAATGAGTTTTCATGGTGCCTCAAGAGATTTAGGTTAAACATTCAAACAACTATCAGCTCCAAAACCTGACTTAATGCATAAAATTAATCTTTCATGTGATTATGACCTTTTACCCATATAGAAAGTATATCCTTAAGATTGACTGATCTCTGGTTTTGTTGGGGATTTTTTTTTCTGGTGAGGGGGGATATGTTTTGTTATATTTTACTTACTGATTGTACTTGAGGTATTTGTCAGGATAAACTAAATAGGATATTAAGCTCATTTGGGCTGCAGAAATATAATTAACAGAATTTAGTCAAGATTTTTGAATGCAACACAAAAAGCATGTAAAGCTTGTGTTTACAAAGCAATAATGTGAATATATTGTGAGAAAGACAATAAGAACTTTATTTAATTTCACATCCATTCATGTACAAACAGCACTTTCTACTGCAAGTTGGCATATTATAAATTATTGTCAGCTAACCTAAATTAAATTATTTGCAATTACTGAAAATTAGCAGAACAAAGCCTGAAATGTGGGAGTGATTTTTCACTTGAAAGCAAACATATAGGATGAACTTATGAAAGACCAAACCAAACCAAACCAATTTACCAATGTAAACTCAATGTGACTAATATTTAGACCATTTTGTCCATGGCTCTAAGAGTCACACAAAGACTGTGAAAGAATTTTTGTCTTTTATTTTTAGAAAATTACATAAAAAATCAACAAACATCAGGTAAGTAACTAACACATTTTCAGTGTCATATGAAGGAAGTTAAGTAGCCTGGGGAGGAGCAGCAGAAGGGAATAGGGGCTACTAGGTACTAAACCATAGAGACAAGCTTCTTGCATAACAAACTGAAGAGAGGCTCCTGCCAAAACTGATTCCTGGAAGCTCACAAAGCTTTGTCTTGAGATGAAGAAACCTATCTCTGTGGTAACAGCTAGACTGCTGAAGGAATCTTGAGTGCCGAAAGTTAGATTGTATAAATGCCCCCTGTTTGCGCACGTTCATACATTTGTCGCTATTTAAAACCTTGTTAATGAATGTGAATGTTTTTCTTTTTATCTGATAGAATTAGTAGTAACTGACCACCAGTGGTTTCCCTTTTTAAGGTTTTTGTCATAAACAAACATGAATATGAGTTTTTTTGTGTGTTGCTGCAACCTGCAATTGCAGACAAGACCCCACCTCTAACTAAATTTGAAGTTAGAAAAAAAAATAAAGCATTTAAAAGAGTTGTGCAGTAAAAATGCAAGAACTTGAAATAATCTTTAATTTTTCGAGAAGATTCCAGATGGGATGTTCATGCATGATCATTCCATCAGGATAACTAAAAGAGCTTTATTTCAGCTGTATTGTTTTTTTTCCTAGAAGCAGTAAAAAATACTGAAACCAAGTTCTAACAAACATCCAATGGCTTAGAGCAAAGAAGATAACATACTGCAGAAGAATTCATCCTTTCTTCTTCTGCAGGCTATCACATGAAAGGAGAAAGCGTGGACTTTTCAGTGAAAGGGGCAGTTATCCCTCATATTCTGTTGGACATGAAAGAAAATGCAGTTCACAGACAAAAGAAAGACACTATTCTTGTGTAATCACAGTGCTCCTGATGTCTTCACATCATTTTTGTGTCCTTCATGGGAGTTCAATCCCCAGTGCACAGCCTTTAAAATCTTGTAGCCAACACAAGGTTTTAATGATTCCTTGATTGGAAATATGGGGAGTTGCTGGACAACATACACTAAACCAGTTTAAACCAGGTGGAAGCACTAAAGAAGAATTTTGTCATATAACAGATTTGTGAATAGTTCCAGTATTTTCTGAAAGCTGAAGTATAAGTCGAGAAGCCGCAATATCTGGTTCCTGCCTTAATAATAGATCTATTGTCCTCCCTTTGGTAAATGATGTAAATTCGTGCCATCTTAATGAGTCCCAGCTAGAAAGATGTAAGCTATTAGTTTCCACCTCACAAAAGCTTTCTAAGACTCAGTAAATTCATATTCACAAAGCAATTTGAAATTTTCATATGGAAAGTACAGCTTAGCATTATACTCTTATAGCACATCTATTAAGATAGTCTGATGAACTGATTTATTTTTTATATTTATTAAATTGTGCTGCACTATAATTATTACTTCTGCCATTAGAAGAGAGAATGAATATGAATGGCTAAAAGAAAAAAGCATAACTAATGTATGTAAAATGTTTGCTCATTAAATTTAATGAATTTTCCTACATAAAAGCACACTGAAAACATTGGAGCTAAAGAAATTTTTGTGACTGAAGTTAGTTATTTATGGGACTCTATATTGCCTCCTTCGACAGCCTTTCTAAAGCATCTTGAGTTTCTAATGCTAATCAGTATTGTCCAGAGAAATTTTTAATATATTTATAAACATAACCCTGTATATATATTTTGTCTTATGACTGAATTCTGTGGTGCTGTTAAAGCTCTTCTCCTAACCTTCATCATTTCCTATTAGAGTTGCTTCTGTGGAGTTTCACACTGAATATAATGTGTTTTCTCTCAGCCTTAGGGAGTTTTAATTTTTGGTCCTGAACACTTAGTCGTGACCATTCCATTGGCCTCAGATGGCCCCATCAAAGAGCACTGCTGAGCCCGGGGCTCGGAGCTGTGAGCCATTTTCCAGCTCTGCAGGACTCCCCTTCTGCAGGTGCATTGAGTAGCTCCCTGCAGGATGCAGGACTGCCTGGGTGCTGTCCAGCTGGGAGTCATCAGAAAGAAAGCCATGACTGAAAGAGCTATTTATTCCCAATGCAGTCTCCAGGGTCCCCACAAGAGTAGAGTGACAGAGCGTGTGTCAGGGGAGCCGCAGTTGTTATTTCAGTGGTAACAGGAGAAGGGGAAATGGGAACTTAGCTGCGCAGCTGCATAGTGCAGGGGATATAAACAATAACCAGGACAGTTCATTCCTTATCGCTATGATAGTTATTTTACAATTCTAGCTGGAAAGGCTATGTACGCTGAGGAAGACGGGAAAGCAAAACGTTAATCTAATATGGTTGATATAGCAAAAAAAAAAAAAAAAAAGAAGATGCTCTTGAGTATCTTGACTTTAACAATGCAAATAGGCACAGTATTATCCTATCTTCTTTTGGAACAATTAAATGATAATAAATATACAACATATAGGTCAGATTCTATATATGTTTGCTTTTAACTGTCATGACTTTCTTGGCTCCTTGTTGAGGACACTCTTTTGCACTGTGAGTGCAAAGAAGCATGGTGTTGAGTCATTCCTCATAGTCAGTTAATTATTAATCATGCCAGAGAGATTTGCTGGCTGCAGTAACCAGCCTGCTTCTCTCTATGATTAGTGCTCAGGGATTCTCAATCATTCCATCATGAAAATTAATACCACAAAAATTGGGGGTAGGGAGGAGAAATGTGTTCCCTTCATTTTCTGAAAATATCAGCTGAGTAACTATCAGGTATAATATCCTAATTATTATATCAACTCTTTTTTTTCCAAGTTTTCCACTCGTCTCTCCTATTATGCCTCAGTAGAAGTCATTCAGCTCCAGTTGCTGCTTTGCACTTGACATTAAGAATCAAAAGCTACCACAGACTCTCTCTGATGTACAAGGAACAGCTAAAAAAGTTTTTAAACTAAGGTGCCATTCTAGAAATCCTATACATTTTTGTTTTCCATAATGTTGGTCTAGAGTAGAGAGGATTATTTTCCCCTTCATATCCTACCTTAATGCTGGCTTCTAACTGCTCTATAGAATTCAGGAATTAAAAACATTCTTCGCTTACAAGTCACCATCTCCTCTGAGATGGAAGCCACCTACGCAAACAAGAAACCTCACCTGAGAAATCTCTAATCTCATCTCTATCTCTTCCAGCAATTTGATGCTGACATTCTCCAGAAAAAAAAAAAAATGAGATTATGGTCAGATGTGACAGTTATGTGACCAGATATGACCAATAGTGGCAAGTATTAACTCTGATTATGAAAGCAAACATGAAGAAGTAAAAAGGCTTTTAAAAGGCCAGGCAGATGTTCAGGAGCTTAGACAGAAGCTGGTGTGCAAAGATCTATCATGCTCCCTTATGCAAACAATCAGAATGCTCTGAGAAACCTTGGAAGCTCACAGAAGTTGAAACATTACATTTTTCTGATCCATTTTTCCTCTTTAGAGGGATTATCACTGCAAGAGCAGTTGAGATGGAAGCCGTGTTCCTGATCCATGAGGGACAACAGCACAATTGCAGCCATACACAGAAAAGAGGCACTTCCATGCTGATCTGTTATCCCTTCTCCAAAATCACTGTTCATACTAGCTGATGTAAATGAATAAAAAACTTCAGTGCCATTTGTATTTTAAATGGAAAAACAACTATGATTTGCTCCACCTAGAGGACAATATAATCCACCCTATCCTTTCAGTTTCAGATAAACAGCATAATGCAGGTATCGGTGACAATATTCCTTTTTGTCTCCTTTATGCAGAAAGCCAGACTTGCTCGAATTCGTGCAGCAAAGAGTGGGAGTGCTAATGCCTACATGCAGAGCAAACGAAATGGCTTACTGAGTAACCAGTTGCAGCAGGTAATATTTTTATATAATCCACTTCCACAGTAACAGCTTAATAATAGTACAGCAGTACTTTATTCTATTTATCACCAGGACAAGTTAACTTGGGTCTTTAGCCAGTATTATCTTCAGATTAAGGAAGAATGAATTGGACAATTATTATTGTTATTAAAGGAAGCTGGTGAATATTGATGATGAGATATTAAAAAATGAGGGAAGTGGCTAAAGAGAAATGCTGGATTCAAATGTAACCCACATTACTAGGGGGAGATCCCATGACAGATTTCATTAAGACAGGATGCAGTGTTTGTGTTTTAGAGACATAAGCAGCTTTCACCTCGTTTGGCTTGGCGCAGCTAAAATGCGGGTGACAAAGTCTGGGTATCCCCCTCCCATCATCTCTGAGAGAAAAAGGTAACTCCAGAGCACCATGGGCAGACTTTGCAGAGAAAGAAATGTTCCCTGGAAAGAACCTGCTTCTCTCTGAAGAGAGTCACAGTGATTAGTTCAAATGTTGGTGTCTCTATCAGAGATATTTAATGTCACCCAGGCACCTTCCCCCTATGGGCGCCCCAGATGCAGAGTTGGGAGCTTGAAACTGGGAATGGGGTCCCCCAACAATCCCACAGTTCCACACGATGCCTGGAGACAGCGTCGTGACCACTCAGAGCTAGGTGGGAGTAGGACTGAAGACAGTGTTTCTTAATCCCTCCACTTTATGTGATTTAGGCAGTTTGCTAAGGAGTACAGGGAAGCTTCCATTTCTCTATTTCCTTTCTGTTTAAAAAGTGTTAAAAATCTTAACCTATAGCCAGAAGGGGAGGAAGTGGCTGCCCAGTTTAGCATGAAAGCCTGTTAACCAGAACACCCATCTCCTCCTCTGCTTGAAAAATTCGAATCCTCCAACTAAAGAGATACCAAATAGCTTAATTGCCATGCAGATTTCAAACATCCTAATGTTGAACTGCAAACTTTCCTATTATGCCACTTCCTCCCTTATTTAGTTTGCTGCTTTCCATTGAACAATTATGAAAGCGATTAATAAACAGTGGAGGCTTTCTACTTAATTCTTTATTCTGTGTCAGTAACATCTGCTCTACGCTTTCCGAACTCAGCAGATTGGGATCACTGACATGAATTTTTGTGTAAGCAGCAATACCACAAATTCTTCAGCACTGTGAAATGATCCCAGGAGGGCAACTACATTTAATTTCCTTCAAATGAGGCACATTCTCAGGAAAAAAAAAGCATCTCCCTGTCACTTATATTTATGATATCTTAAAGTATGCATTGATTCAACATTCAAAGCTTGCATGTTGATTGCACTCATGAATTGCGCTAATCCGTCTATACACAAAAGACCCAAGAAGGAAATATCTAAAAGGAGTGCAAAGGAAGGACAGAAAATATTTTGATTAAAAAATGAACAAGCAAAGGAGTAATCATGTCCAAAATAATTGGGGTTATACCATGTAGATGAAGTATTGCAGTTATGCTACAGTATACAATCCAGATTAGTTCTGATCAAATATTTGGATAAGAGCCCTCTTGTTCAGAAATGAGAATAATACAGTTCTATGTATTAACAGCCCTCCAGTGAAGAAGAACAGGCCTTTGTTAGCAAATCTGGCTCTTCCTTTGAAACACAGCACCACCACCTGCTTCACTGCCTGGAAAAAACCACGGTAAGAAAATGGAATTTAGGGGAAAAGATTTCTAACATCACTCTAATTCTGGATGTTTTCAGTGTTTATTCTAATTTACAAACCTTTACATGACAGATGTTAGCTAGGAAGAAAGGCTATTTTACCTTATTTCAAATCATTATATCCAATGCATGGAAATAGCAGAGAGGGATCCTGGATGAGAGCCTCATTTAGGGTAAAAAATACTGGCATCAGTGAAATGACATGAGTATAGCCCAGCTGCAGATGTGACCTTCAGTATGGTATTTCATATGCTACATAATATATCTTTTGCATTTTTCTGCAGCACAGTTTATAGGCACAATTTGTAGTCCTCACACATGCAAAACCCTGCAGCCAAAGCAAGCTTTAGACTGAGCAAATGATGGGCAAATTCATATAAAGGGAGGTGCTGCATTTCTAGAAAGGGAGGTGTTTACCATGACATGAGCGTGATTCTGGCTGAAGTGACTGCAATAAATGATCCTTGGGCATCTTATTTTGAAACTTCAACCACTTAATCTAGATGCAGGTCAAAGATTCAAAGTCCTTCGGCTTCAGTTTAGGCACTGCCATGCCTGTAGAAATCAGTGATGTAATTTATAACAGCCCAAATACACGTATCTAGATTTGAAACTGTCTATTAACCAAAAGGACTACTTATCATATGCACTCTGCCTTTTGTCTTGGTAATCACCTGGGTAATCACATAGCTATGAAGGATAGTAAATTGCAGCAAAGTTATGATTCAGCAATAATTAATGTTCTCCAGTATAATTCTGGACAGATAATGTCACTACAATAACAGTAATGATCCCTAATTTTACACTTTTTTCCTCTTTTATCATTCCCTAAGGAAGGTATAAGCTTAAAGACTAGTTATGTTGAATTTAATATTTATAGATTTAGGAAATGAGCATGCTAAAATTATGTCCATTTTTTAATATTTTTGAGGGATTATTTTGCCATGAAGAATTTTTCCTGTGTTTGTCAACATCCATTAAACTGCCATTTACATCTAGTTTTATAGGTTCCAGACGCATCTAAAAATTATATGATATTGGCCATCAACACTACTTTGCCATTGCAAATTCTTGACAAATGGTACAACCTTGATGCCAAATTAGTAGGTGCTGAACATCTGAATTATGAGGCATTAGCATAATTTTGTCCATTTTTATGCATAATTACTGAAACAAGGCAAAACAAAACAAAAAAAGAAACAAACAAATTAAAAAAAGAGTTTCTCAACTCTGGATCTGAGTTCTGCTCAACTCTGCAACTGATCAATCTGGCCAGATACAAACACCTACAATAAACTTCTCCTATCCATTCCTTAATACTCATGGCAGTTCTAGAATTGTGTAACAGGGAATCAATTATTTTATTCTCAGAGGCCAAATCAAAGGTTTCAGTTACTTCATGGCTTCCTTCCCCAGTTCTACCCCACCCCACATTCTCAGTTCCTCCTTTAAACCATCATTTAAAGACATAATTAGATAGACATAAAAGATTTTAAAAAATGCACCTCAGTAAAAAAGCCTGCTCTAAAACTTCTCTTTTGTTTTTGAGTACACAGCAGAACGTCTTGCTACATTGTTGTACCTTTATATTCAGGTTTTAGATATTCATTAAAAGACACAGTAATGCTTCTGTTATATATGATAGAGGTCATTGCAGAAGTCTTACTGCTACTGCTTGAAAAGATGAAAAAATTTTCCCCCTACAGACATTGCTAAATTAAAATACAGTGTAGGTATATGTATAATTTACTATTTTCATTTTGACAGCACTTGCTTTTAAGCAAAATGGCCCAGTTGCTATGTCATTTAGATACTGACGTGTCATCTCACAGGGACTTAGGTTTCCTTCATGCTGACTTTTGGAATATTCATTTATGATCTAATGTGCTGCAGCACAAAATGTCTTGTTTCCTATTCACAGTATAATGTAGTTCCTTTGTCTAGATTCAGACTGGGCACTTTATGAATATTTTTGAGACTTTTTGTACTAGAACTAGTAATAACAATTTGCCTGAAATCGTTCCACAGTTGATTACAAACTTATTTTAAAACCCACTAGGGTTTTAAAGTCACCATAGTTCTTGTCAAACTCATAGAAATCATAATAAAAAAAAAGCTAGTCATTTGGTGGGAGCTGGATTCAACCCTAAAACTTTCAAATTTCCTCTACTAATAGTAAAACTCTTTCTTTTTCTCTTTTTTTTTCAAATCATCCTGTTTTAATGATTAAAAAAAAAAAAGAAGTATTATCTCATTCCTAAATTTGCATATAACCTATGTCCTGTTTTTCTTGGCTGCTAAATCCTGCATCTGGCACTGATGTCTGTAAAACACTTGAACACAAAAATGTATATAGAAACTCCAAGCTGTGTACTGGCTACTGCCTGGTCAGATCATTCATTCCAAACTTTTAGGCAGAAATTAGAAAATTTGTGGATCCTCAGCTTGTGGGATCTGGCAAGTTGATAGTTCCCACTATAGTAACATGAGCAATTCTTCCTTCCTTTATCTTTTGAACTATCATTTTGTGTGAGCATCAATCAAAAGTGTTTTTCATCTTGTCAAGTAATTTAAACTCTGTAGGATAAGATGTCTTCTCAAAATACAGTGCAGGTCACAGATGAAATTCTGTGAAAATTACATTAGTAATAAAAATAAATAAAAATTTATATTTTTCAGGATAATTTTAGCTGATACAAGAACAGTTAATTAGTAAACACTGTCCAATATATTAATTTAAGCCACTATATATTTCAAAATGTTTCCAGTCTATGTTCAAAGTTCACTCAACAACCCTCTTTAATGGATGCTACTAATTGAATTTTTGTTGCTTGCTTCATAATAGTTTTAGGAAGCACAAAATTATGTTCAATCAAAAAACTAACAAAATTCTTGGCAAACACACTAGAAACTATTGAGTATAATCTAAAGATAGCTATTAGGTTATTTTTCTCCCTGAACTTTATGTCCACTGTGTGAACACATTTAGAATCTTGTTGTGTGTCTGCCTTATAAAAAATTGTATTTTCAAGCAAGCTCTTTCTTTCCTTATCACTTGGAATCAGCATTCTTCACCACTGCTCAGTTCCACACAAAATTGTCTGAGCAAAGAAGAACAAAAGAAATGAAAATAATAGTATGTCTATGAAAGTATTTCAATTTCTAGCAAACATTTGGCTACAATTGTTTACTTTGCTCACAGATTTGATGTTTGCACCATAATTCTCATGGAAAACATGAGGTTGCACATACAATGACTGCTTAACAGCTACGTGACCTTTCCATTAACATACCATTCTTTAGGTGAGAAAACTAGTTTCCTATATTCTAATATGTGAGAATGCAACAGGCATTGAAGTGAATGCAGAAAACTTGAAGTGAACAAGACTGTAAAATAGCCAGTAGCAAGTTACTTAAACTATTCTCAGAGTTTGCACATAGATTCCCGGAGAAATTGGGGAGATTTTTAAAAAGGAGGCTTTCTCAAATAATACATAAATATTTTAGCCTGCTGATTACCATAAATATGCTTATTTTATTTTATTTTTCTTCTTCTTTTTTTTTTTTTTACTATAAGCCACATTCCTATTTCTCATTTCCTGGCATGTGAAGCAATTGTGGAAATCATGGCTTTCTGTGAAGAGGTCCCTAATCATCCACTGAGTTAAAATAAACCGGCTATTGACTGTAATTTTGATTCAGCTCTATGATAACCTGTAAGCAGTCAGAGAGGGTTTTTTCCTGTGCTTACATTTTTATCGGTATTCAGCCCAGGCTAACACAGGCTAAACACTAGATGCTTAAGACTAAGCTATCCAACTTTCTCAGTCTATTCACCTGTGTCAGCTTAAGCCTTTAAATATTCATTATTAATATGTTCACTCTAATTATCTTTGTGCGTGTGCTCTGTCCCTGTGCTGGATTCCTCTGGACTAGAATCATGAGTTTGTGGATGAACAAGTCTATGAAGAGAGCTGCATGGAGGTTTCCACAGTCAATAGACCCCCAAGCCAGAGCCCCTCTCTCTCATCTCAACAAGGCGTTACCAGCACCTGCTGCTCACGAAGACACAAAAAGACTTACCGCATCCCAAACACCACCCTCACCGGCAGCCGTCAAGGCAGTGTACAAGAGCTCAGCACCATCCAGATCCGATGCGTGGAGAGAACACCTCTGTCCAACAGGTATCTTCTGTGTGCTGGTACTCCCAGAGCTGACCCACCCTTGTTCGTTAGAGAAGAGATGTAGACGTTTTGCGGCCTCCATGGGCAGGTAGTGAAGCTACAGGTCAAAGCAAAATAGCTGTCCAAAAACATAGATTGGTACTGAAACATCCTGTAAATGTAACTTAATTTGATCCAGGTTTAATCCGATCTAACAGAATCCTCTATGTCTCTCCTTTGTTCTCTCCTTCCCACAAACTCCAGGCAATATTTGCAGGGAAGAGCTTCTAGAGCTCTCAAATGAAAGAGAGACCCAATCACTACAGGCCACAATGAGCACATTATAACAGAGAAGTAGAAAGCAATCCACCACAGATGTACAAGATGATCAAGAAGGCAGCAAGTTCTGTCACTGCCATTTCTATTAATTTGGTTCAGAAACAAAGACAGAATGAGAGATTCTGTCTTTGACAGAATATGAGATTTCCTCATATTTTCACAGAAAAGGAAAATAAAACTAGACTCTCAGTCCTAAGTGCTGTTGACATATAGCAAAAGAATCTTCTCTATGAAAATATGAAATAGATGGAAAGAATATATTTCCTGGTTTGAAGAGTTATTAAAGAAGTGAAGAAAGTGCTGTTCAAGAGGCTGTAATGACTGAACATCTTTGTACTCTCAGAAGCAAGCCTTTTGGCTTTCAGGTATATCTGAGCATCACCTCTGAAAACATAGCAAAGATCTCAGGAGACTCAGAAGTGTTTTCTATTGAAGTCAAATATGTCTTCATTAAAAAGAAGTGTTTTCAGCACTAGTTGCTATAGAGATTCAGTCTTGTGACATTTTGAGTAGCTTACTGTGAATAGTTATTAAGTTTGGATTTCACTTCCATGAGCGATTCAGCAGCTTGTGACTGCTGCTTGTTTTTCTGCTGTTGTGTAACGGAACCACTGCAATCTATGTCTTATATTTCCAGGAAATATTTCTGGACCCACTGCTTCTGTGCTAGAGGACTTCCCTACATCACACTTCCAATCATAGAGTCCATAAAAACACAAAGCACACGCTCTAGGCTAAAAATAAGCAAAAAGTTTAAGCACAAAACATAAAACCCAATCTTATCTCAACAGAGCTTGACTTTTAGAAGTTTGTCATAATGCTGAGGCACTGGTCTATGCCCCCATAGAGTTAAGACAGAGCAAGCCAATGGGCATGTTATTTCAACCTCAACCAATTCACACAACACTGGGTCTTATTGTCGGGGATGCTCAACATACAAACAGTTCTTAAAAAAAAAATCATGGCATAGAAGTCAATTGGAGACTGAGATTGTCCCTCACCTTTTTACGCTTTTCCACATAACACATCCCTTGACTATTGTAAGCTTAATTTCTACAGTGAGGATCTCAAATACCTCCACTACTCAGAAACATTTAGCTGGTGAGGCTCTTTTAGAAATACTAAACGATTTTAGAAATACTAAACTGAACCCTTTTAGAAATACTGCTGGAGGGAGGGGGGCTGCCCGTGGAGCAAACCGCAGGACCATCTGCTGCAGGGGCACCTCGCGTGAAGGTTGGGAATGCGTGGGGGGCTGGCGACCACTGCAGGCCTTCGGGCTCCAGTAATGACCATGCTGGTGGCACCAGGCCTTCCACCAGCCCAGCGTGAAGGTGACCAGCTGGGGTAGGGCACGCTGCATCTGGCACGCTGTTGGTAATCCGGACTTTCTTCATGGATTTTTATTTCTTCCTCCAGCCGATCCAGCTTAAATGCCAAAGTGGAGGAGTGTGTTAAACTAAACTGTGAGCAGCCTTACGTCACTACAGCAATAATTAGCATCCCGACACCTCCGGTCACCACACCTGAAGGAGATGATAGGCCAGAGTCTCCTGAGTACTCAGGAGGAAACATTGTCAGAGTATCTGCTTTATAAAATAAGGAATTATTTGTAAATCAGGAAAAAAAAGAAAAAAGAAAAAAAAAAGACCATTGCAAGTTGAGCTCTAGCAGTGAGCAAGTTGTCTGGAAGAAGGAAAGAGCTGACAACGACAAGGCCCCCTCGACGCGTGCGCCAGCAGCCACCCATCGAGACGTACAGAAGAAAACCACCCTGGGTTTCGGTGTCGGAGCGCGTTACCCCGAATGGAGTTTCTACACCGTGTGTGAACAGATAATGCAGTGGAAGCTTCTGCGACCGTTCTGACTTACTATATGAGCACAATGAAATGTCCCCATTGATGCTTCTTCTTATCATGAGAGCTCTTTTTAGAAAAAAAGAAAAAACACACAACATAAAAAATAGAAACAAACGTGTTCCTTCTGAATGCAAAACAAGAAACATTTTGATAACATGTCTTTTTTTTTCCTGTTAATAAACCACAAACTTGTTGAGAAACTATGAAAAAAATGAAAGAAAAATGCTCATATGAAAGAAGTTTGTACTGACTTAAAGAAATACAACCATAATGCATGCTGAAATTATTTGGAGCTGTGATCTCAGTTTATTTATGTTGTTTTTCAGATTAGGCATGATAAAATATTACTGTAGAAAGGGGCATTTCTGTGCACTTACAACATGCTGATTGTTAATGTTCCATGGTAGTTGTACAAATAACATCCCTTTGAAAAATGCAGTATTTCTTACTCAAACACTCATTAGTGAACTGAAGGTGTTCATTTAGTTCAATATTTATTATTGTTTTATCTTGCTTCCTAGGTACTGTTACAACTGCAATAAGTCATTGTACACCTGTTGTATCAGGAATCAGGATTTTTTAATAGATAATTTACACAAGTTCATCTGCACTATAAACTTCTACTGGCAAAATTTAAATAATCTTAGAACCAAACTGTGCACCACAAACGTACTATTCAGTCATATTCTTTTTGTCAGTGGTCCTTTACTTCCATGACAGTACCCTGTCCATTCCAACACTGCTGCACTATTTGGGTTTTCAAGGTCACCGATGAATCAACATGATCCTTCATTCTCTAAATACCTTGCCTACTTTTGTACTTGCAGAACAAGCCTCTTGCCCTTATGTACTGTTACAGTAGCATTTGAATTAAACTCTTTTTTTCTTCTTTTATTTTCCCCCCTTTGTGATTAACCAGCACCTATTTCCAGGCTTCCTTTGATAACACATTGCACTAGCCAGCATATTGGCTATGTTGGAAGACATCGAAAAATAATTGCTAAGTTCTTTTTGTAAGTAGCAGTAAATTCACATCCTAAAACTTGAGAATTTGTATTGTGTTGAGATACTTTCTTACCTAATAACACTGATAATATAGTGGTTGGAGTCCAAAAGCCACAAAAGTATAAAGGCTCTACACATTAAGGTTTTTCGGTTTCATTTTCAAGACATTATTAATGTTAACAGAAAACTTTCTGATAAAAAAGTCACATTTCTTTATGAAGGAACAGTAAGAAGATGCATTGCAATGCTTCCTATATACATGAAATACCATACATCCTATACATCCGATATACATGAAACATATGCATATCGATACACACATCTAAATACACCGAATCGGAAATAATTGCATGTCTGCAAATAAAAATATGCGTACAAATCAAAAGGCTCAGTGCGTTAGAGTCCATTGTCATAAATGATTAACATAATCTGAGTAGTGTATGCTTCAATACAGCATTTATCATTCTACTGATCTTAAAATTTACAGTAAAAGAAACCACCCACTAAAACTGAAACTTGTTGGTTAGATACTTTTTACTGCACAAAAATCCTGATATTTCTATCTACTTGCCAGATTTTGATCAACAGAGGATGGAACGTGCCACAGTATATTCACCAAAGTACTAATATTGCTACACATGCAAATTAAGCTTCAATTAAAAATAGCATATAATGTAACGTATTGCTCTTTTTATTGTTTACTTATTCAGAAACTTGCAATTAACCCCCTCCCTTTTTTGTGTGTGTGAAAATTAGACTAATTAATGGAATTAAACTGCTAAATTTCTTCCAAAACTTCAGAAATAGTAGAAGCACAGATTGTCTTTTGACATTCAAGATGCTCGTTTTGAGTAACTCTGCTGAAGTCAATTACGTTTCTCTCCTCTCTTTTACCCAGTTATAAAATTGCACTAAATCTGCTGAAGCTGGTGGGTTATGTAAGTTTTACTGCAGTGTACAAAAGAGGCAGAGGGGATCTAAAGCTTTTGCTTCCATCCTACATTTGCCCGTAATACTCTGAAAAAGAGATATAGCTTGATCCCCTCTGTCAAAGAAAATGTTGATTTAAAAACTGCCTTGCTATTAACAATCTGTAAAAACTTCATGTCACATGCTACTGGAGTAGTTATATCAGGAAAATAATGCAAAAAGGTTGCTACTAAAATCCATTTGGGACTGACTGCATACAGCCCAGGAAACCTCCTGACTCCATCAGATCAGGCATCTCCTAAGAAATCCGGCCTCCTTATTCTTTTTCATACGGACTAAAACACTTGCATTACAGCAATACACTTGCAAAACACTTATACCCCTGAACCAACTTGTACTTTCATTGCTAAAATACAGCTTAAAGAATAATTTAATATGATTTTGCAGAATGCCAGTCCTGTCTTCTATTTCCATGTCACATGCAAAATCATTAATTTATTCTGAATTTGGGAAATACACATTATTTTGGTGTTTTAGGTGATTTAAATGCTGTTTTGGTAGTGAATGACTGTTGATGACTGTGTAAAATGCATCTGTACTGTACATGAAATGTAATTATTTCTGTGTATCATACAAAGAAACAAAGGTTGTTGTTTTTGACAATTTTGTTTGACAGTCATATATCGTATTTCAGAAGGCAGCATAATACATGTGTTATGCTGAATAAATAGACATTTGAGGAATATTTAAATAAAACATCTGCATGCTTGAACGGGTCAATCTGGTTTTGCAATAACTTATTCATGGACTTTTTTTTTTTTTTTCCCCCTCCTAACAAGATTCAAGGAACACTAAATTCGAAGGCAGCAAATGTCCCTGGTGCTAACTGCCAGGAATCTGGGAGCATTAAATTACTCCCAGCAAAGTGAACTCTACCTCCTTATCTGCATTTTTTAAAAATAAAAGACCCTGTGTTCCGAATACATCCAGACGCTGACCACTGTACTGAATGTCCTAGACCACAGTACCACTTCAGATCTGACAGCATCTTCCCTCCATAGTATCACTGCATCGGTGAGATCAAAATCCTTTCGTAGCATCGTACCTGTTGTTATAACAGATAACCCCCTGTGCGTGACTTACAGAAGACACTAACAACATGGACCATGCTGATTTATCCATCACGTACACTGCCTTCCTGGCACGCACGACAGCTACCTTTGTCAGGATCACACTTTTAGACTGATACATGAGGGGAAAAGCCTTCTAATATAAGTAAAATCTGTCTGTGAACCATCCTTGAGCATTTTTAAAAATAATGGTTGTCCTCTATTTACAGGATATCAACCAAAAGCATACGCTTACATTTTGAGGCTTTAGATACAATCATTGTAAAACACGCTCACTCTCAAGAGAACATTTCACAGTGGAGAAGATAATATGGATTCACACCTGTTCTCTGATAACTTTCAAAGACGATGACATTCAAAGCTGAAACTAGTCTGGAGAAGAATGGATTGCTAAAAATCACAGGACCATAGAAATTTGGGCAGGGAGGGTGCTTAAGAGGTCATATGCTCTCTTCTCTTGCACCTGGGGCCAACATTTTATTTTCCCATCGAATACAGAAACATTTGAAGATTTTTAGGTGTTCTGGAATAGCAATCAAATATAATTACTCAATGAAAATGATACTGGATTTGTAAATGTATAAATAGGCACTGTAAAGGAGCCGTCAAGAAAGAACAATATCAACACACTTAGAACTGATGCAGTCTGTAAGATAAACCCAGAGTACCTAGCCAGCTTAGTTTCTTAACTGTCTTCATTATTTATACAGGACTCATTATTAATGTACCTATGTGCAGGAAAACATTGAAAGCAGGGCAGCCTTGAAAAAAAGCAAATAGCTGCACGCAAAATCCCGAGCCATTTAAGACATTCCAATATTTTTTAAAGAAATGCAGTCAATCATGGGTGAGTCTTAAAGTTTTAGACACAATCTCATTTCCATATAGCAATTCACATGAATTAAACATCATGTCCTAGTGGTAAAAGTTTCAAAAACTATTTGAAAATCCCAGCCTGTATCATAATATAACTGTATAGTCACTCTTACCAACGGCCTCTTTTTTACTACTTATTCTTTATATATGCTCTTAGATTTATGGGGTGCTTTTACACAATAAACTATGTTACAGAGAGGAGAAAACATAATGCTGCTTCCTTCAGAAACTTTTGCTTTATGACTTGCTGGCAGATGAAGTGATACCTTGTCCAAGGACCAAAAATAGTAGAGATTATCTTCTAAAAGTATCCTTATACTCCTGAATCATTCCTGCATGATGCCAAACTTAATGATCCACTGTTACGGAAACAGTTCCATTGATTCAATCCTGATTTACTGGGCTGAATGGGAATGCCTGATGTAGGGCTGGGGTTGACCCATTATCTAACACAGATGCTGTCCCCTACACTAAGTGAAGGTCTGTGAAAGGCATTAAAAAGCAGCTTCGTAGCTGCTTGTCACAACAAGAAAGATGTGTTTCATTACCGCTGCACTGAAGAAAGAATATACCATCATTCTCCTCCGGGTACTCCCTGTGAGACTTGCAGAAAAAAGAAAGAAAAGGATGAAGCAGCTTTCGCTGCTGCAAGTATCTCTAAATGCTCCCCTTGCCAAGCAGCCACTCTCCTACTTGAATCGCAAAGTCCTACAGGAAAAGGATACACTTACTGCAGCTTAGTCAGTCAACCGAGGACTTTGAGTAAGCCTTAGAAAAACAGGACAAAATAGTTTGAGCTCAGTTAAATAAAAAGCATGAAGGAGTTCCAAAACTATATATATTTGAACTCTATATACTATATATTTGAAACTTTGATGGACAAAGGGGGTTAGATACTCAAAAGAGGAGAGACACCCAAAAGCCTCATCCTCACTACTCAGAATACCTACCAGCAAACTTTACCAGGAAAGAAATTACCTTCCAGCATTTCTGATGTATGTTTTTTAACCCAAATTAAACCAACCTCGATCTGAATGCAGACTGGCTCATGATCAGATAAGGTTACCCTGAGTACAGAAGTTCACTATCCTGCAGGTCCACAAACATCGGTCTGTAAAGTGTGTCCTATATTAAATGTGCCAAAACAATACTAGCATAAGGGACCCCTGACCAAATCATGTTTTGAGAAGCACTACCTGAAATCTCTACTCTTTCTTAGCATGGTGTGGGAGGGAGCATGGTGCGTTTGTCAGCTCCTGGACTTAGAATCTCCTGATATAACAGTGATCTGATGAATCCCCTTCATCATTTGAAGACAACGAGGACCAATGAGCTTATTTATTGAAAAAACTGAATAGCTCACAAAGACACGCAGAAACCCTTGCCTGTCCTTGCCTATGTTCTTCCAGGGTGCCCTAACAAATGTTGCCTATATTCTCATAAAAGATTTTTATTTTTACCAATTTGGCAACCCCCATAGGACCACACAGATACATTCACCTTCTGCCCACCTGTTAAACCTAGGATGGCTCCAATGAAGCTCCACCCTACGCATGCCCTCTTCACAGCACATTGTACAAATAACTGGGTTGAAGGTAAGATTTCTTATTAGTGCAATTGTCATGATTATAAATTCACAGAACACCCATGTTTAGCAAAGAATTTTCCCCAAATGGGCTTAGGGCTTGCAGATGACTCCTGTTAGTTATAGTGTTAAATCTGAATTTTATAGAGAAATCTAGTTAGCCATGACACCGACTTGTAAAACCACCACCACAGGTGCCACAACCAGAAGACAACCCGCAATGGAAGCATCCGCAACAAAAGAGCAAGAAGCTCTTTTGTGAGCAAGTGGCTCAAACTATTGTGTGGCATCAGAGCAGCGCTTCTAAAGCTGGGATACATGCAGGCTTTCCTGGTTACAGGCTCACCTTTTCTACCTAGGACCACTGCCATAGCTGCAGAAATGCTGCCCAGGCTACACAGAAGGAAGGATGGAAGTCTGCTGTACATGTAAAGTGAGGCTAGACACAACAGAGCTGTTGAACGCTGCATGAGAATATATTTTTGAGAAGGAAATTCCAGAAGAAAAAAAAAGGACTTTTTTTTTTGTAAAAGTACAAAAACAGAAGGCTAATCTTGCTTGCAACAGTACCTGTGAAATAATTACACCCACATGGAGACTGCTAAAAGAAACAAACAAAAGCCCACACAATTGAAGAACTGAATTTCATGATTCTTTGGTAACTTTCTTAGAAGTAATAGAAAAGAAATTGAAATTCACAGTTCACTTCTCCATGACAGATTAAGTGGAATAGGTAAAAACATGTCAAATTAACTCACATTAGGAGGAGTCCCCTGCTTCCACCCAAAGCATTCACATTTCAGATCTTTACAATAAAAAAGCCATTATGGAATTTAAGACAACAGTAATTTTATTGTCTACCAAATCACACTTTTCTGCTTTTTTCCTTTTACAAATTCCAAAACAAGTGGAAAGTATTTTTAAAATGCAATATTATGTAAAAACCCTTTTGCAAGAAACTACTGTACTCAGTGGAGCAAATACAAATTTCAGGAGGATGGCCATTGTAAAAATAATCCTATGAAAAAAACTTTTTCATAAAAATACAGTAAAATGCACTTTTTCCACCTCAATAAATATATCTTAACGCTGTTTCCATGTGACATTTTAAGTCACTGAAGATCTCTTACTGAAGAACAAGCCCAAGTATAATTTCCCTTCCTCTACTTTTACAGTTATTGCAATAGCATCCAGAACAACAGGCACTTTTCCTGCAGTCTTTTTTTTTTTCTATTTTGAGGGGAAACCTGGATAGAAAAATGGATGTATCTACTAAAACGTGCTACTCTCTATACTGATCCCTAGTTTGGAAAGAATGCTTTTTTTTTTTTCTTTAATAATAATGAATAGTCCACAGAACACACTGTTTCAAAGAAGAATTTTCTACAGTTACTCAGAGAATTAGTCTATTGTCCAGAGTCAGTTTTGTTTTTAATCTGTTTAATAAATTTAAACTTAAAAATTAAACAGTTAGATAAAAATAGAAGTTTTAGAACATCTTTAACAGCAATAGCTAAGATAAAGATTTTGTTAGAAAAAGAATCTTGCTTTTTTTAAAAACAAATCTTGTAATTTTTTTAAATCCAAGTATTTACTTGAATTGCAGTTCTGCTATCCATGCACACACAAAACACACATTTATATACACGTAGATCCCTGATTATTTTAAGACATTTTCCAAATGGCTTAGTAAAAATGTCGAAGTCTATTTTAGCTGAAGTCAGATTCCAAGTTTGGCCAAAGCACAGTCCTTTCTTCCTTTTCAGTGGTACTTTGGAGTATGTCATTAGTTCTGTTCATCTACCTGCAGATACTACTTCGTGCATCGCACACCTTGCGAAAATAAGTTAAACACTACTGTGCCCAGGGAATGAATGACTTCTAAAAATGTACAGCCATCCCTGGTCACGGTTGTCCAAAGAGACTGAGAACAGACATCTATGCTCATCTTTCTTTCTTGGCTGCTTTTTTCTCATTAGCCATTTTCTGAAGCACAGGAAGACTGGTATACTCAGTGTGCTTGATGGAACAGAATAAAAATGCCACCAAAAAGGAAAAAAAAAAAAAAAAGAAAGAAAAAAAAAAGAAAGAGAGATTTAAACCCTTTGTGACTTCTTTGATCCACTGCATCACTTATAGCTCTTCCATTTCGAAGTGTGTATTGAAGCTGTTTGCCATGGATGCATGCTCAAAGATCCGCGTCAGGCTTGGTTTCAGCAGCTCCACCGAATGACAGGAGAGGTGCTGTGCGGTGTCGCTCTTCAGGGACATGATCTGGTCGGCCCCCGGATCCCGCCTGTCATAGTACAGAGCCCACAGCAAGGTAATAGTGAGGATCATGGCCAGAATCTGCGTTACTCCAATGGAGATCCCCAGAAATCGCAGCACTTGCAATTGCTTCGTTCCCCTCAGAAACGTGTACATTTTTTTACCGCAGCCCTATAAAGCAAAATAGAAAAGAGAAATATTTACTCAACACTACTTGACCCAATGAGTTCCCAAATTTAGCTCATCCTAGCTAGTATCAGCTCCTCAAGATTTCTCTTGTCCCCTTCAAACAATATTTTGTAACTTTTTTGCCTACTTCTTTATCGCTGTCATCTCAAACTCAATGCAATCTTTATTCTTTTATATACTTACAAAAATCCTGCATATAACAAGATCCAACAGATCTATGGTACACCCTTCTATTCAAAATCTTTCAGAATTCTTTCAGATGAGTTCTTATCACCTTCACTGACTTTTAAACTCAACTATTTAGCCAAAGTTTAAAAGGCTTTAAATCCTCTTAATCATTGTATTTATTTCCTTAATTTGCAGACCTTTAGGTCTATTGATTATTTTCATGTGTAGTGTTTTTTTTTTCCTAAAAAGAAAACCCCAATCCTAAGATAAAACAATATTTTAAGAAAGATCTATAGACCTATATAACCTCATAATGTTTCTTTACACCTTTTATTTTTAGTGTTTTATCTAGACTCATTATATGCTGGTTTTATTAGTTCAGCAGAAAGTCCCTATGGAGTAGAAAAATCCCTACATCCCAGACTGTGTGAGCATGGAATATTTGTTAATGAAGGGCTCCTGACAAATGTCCAGGATGCAAAGAATATGAACATTTTTACTAAAGAAAAAAAGTAGCAAGACTGTATCAAAGTAGCATTATTCCTCTTACTGGCAGCATTTCCTCAATAGAAAAGCACATTCATTTACAATTGACACCCTGAAAGCACCCCCTAACTATTCCAACACTATACACTAAAAATTAACCAAATTCGTTTGTGCTCTAAATGTAGAAATTTCTCTGTGTTCTTTTTTTTTGCAATAGCTTTGTATTAAGAACCATTTTTATCTTGCATCTTGTGCAGCACTAAGAAATTTAATGCCATTGCACAGTAATTTCTCAATGCCTTTGAAAAGTTTTATGGCTATTTGCTCAGAGAAAAGAAAAAAATGAATCCAAGTCATTGTGACTGGGAGGCAACAAGGAAGCCGGTATTATGGAAAATTACAGGAAATGTCCCCGTTTAAAAAATAACTTAGTTTAACAGAATTCGACGCTTTTTGCCCCTCCTGCATAGTATCACAGGATACTGCAGTGACACCAAGGAACCACTGGCAGTGGAAGCTCTCCACGACAAGGGAGGTCACAGTTCTGATGTGACACAAATACCAAAATTCTAGGCGTGGTAGTTTGAAAATCTCCCATTGAAAAATCCTGCCCCCTGCCCCTCTACGAGTTTCACTCCGCTCTGTCCCCACGTTTTCCCTCTGGCTGTTAAGCCAGTGGTGAATGTTCAGATACCTGAGCTTGAAAAATCACATCACAGCATTTTTGCCTTATTTTGTTCCACTAACCCTTGTGAGAGCAGCTGTAACTAGGCGCCTGCACCACGTTCTGCACAAACGCAGGCAGGGGGCTGGGCCCTGTTCCAAAGGGCTACAGTCTGTGCGCTGTATTTGGAAGATGCTCACATACATCATCTCTCCGACCCATAGTGCAGGTGCAAACCCAAAGTAATTACTCTCGCCGGAAAAGGTCTGGTGGATATAAATTATGCTGCATTTCTAGAAATTTAGAAAGAGTGGTTGCTCTTCGCGCTGCATTTCTAGAAATGGAAATTTAGAAAGAGTGGTTGCTCTTCGAGTACTCAGCACTTTCTGAACTGTCAGTACATGGCTCCACAGCTTGCCCACATGGCCAACTCGTTACTGCACAAGGCGCTCCAGGAGAGCTCCTAAGCCCTTGTAAGCAGCGAGGATCCACAAGAAGAGACTGGCTCTGCAAACTGGGGCACAACAGAGGCAACTATACTGCTTGTTGCTCATAGGTGCCATCCTTCAGTCTTGAAAAGAATAAAGCTTTGAAAAGTGGACCTCCAGCTCCTTTAACAAATGCTTATTCCCTATGCTAAACTTTACAGGACAGAAATTAAAGGTACATGCAGACACCAATGAAAAATTCCGAGCAATAATCTGGACAGGAAAATGATAAGGATTACAAAAAGGCATCAGTCTCAGCTTCAGGCATCAGGAACCCACCAAGAAGGGCACTATTTTTCAAATGTCACTTCCATGCTTCCTTACTACATATTTCTTGTAGCCTTTTTATGACAAGTAAGTAGCTGATCAAAGTGACAGAAACTGAAGTCAGGACATGACAGAGTGCACATTTTGATCACAGCAAAATTCGCAATACTCAACACTGTTTCAAATGAAAGTCCTGAATATATCAAGAATATATCAATTTATTCTTACCTTGCACACAATATTTTCGCTAAAAGCAACAGATTCTCATTTAGGATCTAAACGAAATTAATGTACTATATAATGATTGTGTAAGTTAATGTCTTCGCAGTATTCATCATACCAGTGTATGATTCCTTAGATATTAACAGAGTTTACCTATAGAATAAGATCCAAATTTTGATTCTTTTAAAATCAGGAAAGAAAACCAAAACAATGTAGCAAAAGCTACTAAACTAAACTTGATGAGGAATAAAAAATATCTTGTTGGCATCTCTTTTTTTTTTTTCTTGAACTCAAAGATGTTGTTGCAATTATATTGCTTTCAAAACTTACTTTTAATTATACAGAAATCATATGCTTTTTAATACTTTTGCTAATTTTAAGGGATTAAGGTACCTGCTGGTCACAATTTAGAAAAGCTCAATCTCAGCAGTATTCAAATTTAGTTCCATCTGTTGCCTAGAGGAAACATCCATTAACAGACATCTATAACATTAATGCCTACACTTCCTGTAGTACAGACACATAACTAAGACAAATTACGCCTGATCTGTATAGACTGCCTTCCTCCACTTAATGACGTTCTTACAATTCTGCTCTAATGCACATTCAAAATCAACTTCAAAAATGAGAAATAGCCAATCATGTCTGTTATTTTCACATTCATACATTTTATTTCTGCTAGTTGGTAGCCTGCAATTAAAGAGTGTATAAATATACACTCTTGTAGCATCATATCTTATATAAGGCACTAAAAGCTTTAACACCATCAACAGATCTGCTCCTTATGTATAGTCAAAAATATATTAGAAAACAATAGAAAAGGATATGTAAAATTCAATTCTGATTTTTCTAAAGATGGCAACTCCTACCATTTTTTTAATTAGTCTGCAAGTCCTAATTTTAATACTGGTAGAAATGCCCTTGTGCTCAGACCTCCTATGTCACACTGGCATCTTATACATGTCTCGTGACCACTATCTTTCGAAAGCTAATGTATTTTATGAAGTGCAAATAAAAGCAGTCCACAAAGATTAATTTATTTTAAAAAAGCTTTCAAAATCCAGCTAGTACAACAAGATTCCTTTCAAATGATAGTCTGAGACAGACCTATAAATAAGCCATTCCTCTTACAACAAAAATAGTATCTATAGACAACTATAACTTAGAATAATAAAAGCTCAGAGATTCCAATGGAAAATTACTGCAAACCTGCAACAAATCAACTGTGTCAATCTCAGCCAACAAACCAAATTTCAGTTTTCTGAAGTACTGGAAAGAATTTTTTTTAAGTACTAGAGAGGACTTGCGAGGAATTTACATAAGCCAACTTTAGCCTAGCAAGACTAATCTCTAGACTCCACTTGAATCAGACAGTGACAGACTATGTGTGCTTGTTTTGAAACATTTTCTAAAGAAGCTTTTCTTACTTTTTTTCTCCAAAGCTAAAGTCAGACAGACTAGTCGTGCAAGTTTGTTTAGTGTGGTATTCATAAATTCTACAGCAAGCATACTGTACAAGTCTGTAAAACAAACTTGCACGCAAGCACCATAGGAAAAAAAAGAAACTGCCAAATGAATATTGTTCATACCTCACAGAAACCAACACGGTATTTTTGTGGCTGGTGAAACAGTTCCTCTTTGGAACTGATTCTGCACTAAACAACAACAACGAAAAAAATTACTAGGAGCTGAATCATTTTAACATGTTCTGGGGCATGGTGGAGGAAGAACTTCAGATTACTCTCCAGGTATCTTTGAGGAAAAATACACAGGCAGCTTTCCTATCAAGTGAGTCATTGCACAGTTTTTTGCTTTACTAAATCATCATCTTCGGCTATCAGTTTTCTCCAAGTAGAAGCCAATGGAATCGCAAACATGAAGTGGGTAGAGATCTGCTTTCCTGGCATATGGCTATGGAATAAAGGGTTAGCAGAAAGAAGAGATATTTATCTGTAGTTTTCTCAAGATCAAGTCATGCCAGCGGCGTGACCTGATAAATATTGCTCCCCAAGTATGCACTTACTGAGGTAAAAATTAGGTTATTAGGTTTCTATTGAGTGAGGATGGCTTATGTACTCTCATCTCCTCGTATAAGCAGGAGAGATACTTAGGGCAGATGACGACCTTCTTTAGTTTCCATAAATTTGCTCTGCAGTCTCTAAGGCAGAGCTGGAGGGTGGTTCATGGGATCACTGGCATGGCATCACAAAATATATACATACATATAAATATATATATACATGTATATATATATATATAATATTGTAGGGTAGAGTACTTTCTTCAAATAGATGCCAATGCCTGGCAGGTGCTAGGAGTGAGTGGTCTGGCTGTACCATTCAGAGATGACACTTCTCTGTGGTATAACCAGTGCTGCATGCCTTGCTGTCACGTGAGAGAAGTTCTCCAGTTATCTGACTGAAAGAAAACAACCTGTGCAATGGTCTTTATGACTCCCTACCACAGCCTGGCCTGCTGAGGCACCTGCCTTTTGGCAGCTCCGTCCTCTCTAGCTGAGGATGGATGCCTGCAAGTCCATACCAGATCAAATCATTTCTACTCTATCTGGCAGATTACTCTGTGTCAATGACATCACTTCTGCATATTGAACTACAGGGCCAGCTACTAAAATAAAATATACTTACAAGCAGCCTACAGGCAAACACTTAGGAGGCTCAGAAAAGTGATCTCTGAAAATCACAGGCTCAGGAAAAGAGAGGTAGCATAACATTTGAAACTATTGCTTTAGTACTAGTCTGTGGTAAAAGGAATGGAATCCTTCCCCCCCCGCCTCTAGGAGTACATAAGTACACAAACATTTTCAGGAATTTTTAATAGCAAGAACAGTGAATTCTTCAGTCACATCTTCTGTAAGATGACAAACAAGACATGGTTGGAACAGTCTCCCAAGTAGCTCTGAAGTTGCCAGTACAACAGTAAAAACAAAAGTGGGACTGACACATCTCTTGATTTCAGGGCCATTCTACTACAGTGCATAAATCATTGCTTCCATTCATTCCACTGAGGCTCTTCTAGCAGTAATTTTACTTTCCCAGATTCAGGAACTTTTTTTTTTTTTTTTTCCCCTACCTTGCTCTAAATTTCTAAGGCTGTTTGACTTTTCCGTCCTGCTAAAAATTCAGCCCCACAACAGGGGATCTATTTAGGTCTATCATTTGTGATGAGAAAACCACATGAGCCTCAGGCTACATGTTCTCTTCTTCACCAGCTGAAAAGCACTGCTTTGGGTAGCAATTACATCTGAGGGGGCAGGTGCATGTGCATGATGAAATTCGCATTTACATGGTTAATCTCTCTTACACAGCATTCTGTAAAGCTGTAGTTTCCAGAATTCCAGAATTCTTAGCATTTCTGATTATTTAAGGAAACTAATTTACCTGTGCTTTTTCCTCATATTTTCATATATGAAACGTATGAAACGTATGAACGTATTGAACGTATTTTCATGAACGTATTTTCAGCTTGACCGATCCAGCTGTTACCACTTGTATGCAAGTTCAGCACCGTGACAAAACATGGACTTAATTCACTGTTAAAACTTTTGCACACGAGCCTCATCAGAACTTCTAATACCAAAGAACACACAAAATGTTGTAGAGAGTTTGCTTTTTATGTTTATTTGCAGTTTTAACCTTTTCTCAGAGATAAATACAGTAGAACAGTAACTCTTAAAAGCCACTCTAACATACACCACCACGTTACAAAACTATTTTTGAATATCCCATACATTTTCTGATCTAGAAACATAGCAGAATTTAGCAAAACTCCTAAGATTCACAAGAAGTTTCAAATACTCTAAATGCCGTTATTCCTTGGAAAAGAGTTGTTATTCCTGTTATTCCTTGAAAAACAGTTGATATTCCTGTTATTCCGATCACAATATATCACATTCATCCAGCATGCTTAAGAACAAAAACATAATTTGAACTACACTGAACTGTTTGTTTGTTTTTAACTAGAGGAATACTCTTTTCCCAATTCTACCACACTGGATCCATCAACCACGCGGTCACTTCACACACTATGTAGCTGAGCTATAGAATTTCATGATGCAAGATCTACTAGATACTAGAAAGAAACCAAAAAGTTCCAAAAATAACCAGATTTTTTTTTCCCTAAGAGAAAACCCAAAACATTAGCTCTTGTTCAGGAGTTCCCGGATCTGCAAAAAGGACCAAGGCCAAGACATCATCCTGGGAAGTTCTATAATACATTCCTACCCTTTTCCAGACATTATGGTTATTTTGACCGTTGGTCATTCTGATACTACATGCACAATTAAAAGTCTTCAGATGTCTGTCAGCATCAAAACAATCATAATGGACGTAAAATAGTGTGCAAAGCAGACTTTAGACAAAGTTTTCACAGCAATGGTTAAGGGTTTTAGTAGAGAACACATTTTCTTGCTTTTAGTTTTCACCCTACAAACAACAGTGATTTGCTATAGCTATCTCCTTAGCTGCTTAGGATTCAAATAGGTCCTCTCTTGGTTTTAAGGCTTTTTGAAGTTAAGTTTGATAACGTAATAAGAGAGAAAGAACATTTTCCCCCAGAGCTTCTAAGCGTGCTCATGGTGCGGTAACTGGAACACCTGCCTCCTCACAAAACCCTGTTAACAAGAGGGTTCCTTTCTCTCTATAGCCCTCATTAGCAAAGGACAGCAGAATTGCTCCTAGTTTGGTAAGTGTGAGACTGGGCATCGTACAAACGAATCATGCATCTTCCTATTCTGACCTGAATATTGAGGGAATGTGGCCACTTTAATACTGGCAAGACCACACCACTAGTCAAGTAACGAAGAGGTCACCAAATTCTTAACCCTTGAGATGATACCAGACTTCTGGCTTCAGTTTAGTTACATGAGAACTGGAAACAGCTCGATTTTCACATTTGCAATTGCAAGCATTAAATATCCTCTCTCATCTTTGATTTACTGCAGCCCTTCAGAAAAAAAAAATGCATCAAGAGATCTGAGAATCAGAGTATCTTTCTCAATACACACTCTCCTAATTTTCAACGTGCACCTCCAGACGATTTTCTAGTTGGGAACAGGGTGCACAGGGTGTACTTCAAAGGGGCTATCTCTGAAGGTCTTTATTAGTAAATGATGAGTTTTGAACATAACTGTCTCCAGAACACTGCACAAAGCCTTTAGAAATACCCATGCATTTCTTCTTACCTCCTGATAAAGGTCACTGAGATCCTCTTGATGAGCTTGCTTCGAACATCCTGGAAACTCCCTGACACAACAGGAGTCAGGAGGCCAATCCATCTCTGTCATTTCCAGCCAGTCTGTGAAGTATACCACCCCACAACATTTAAACTGCAAAGGAAGGATTAGCCAGGATCAACAATAATGCCCTTTCTTCATAAGAGAAGGTCAAAACAGAATAGGTTTTCATTAAAAATTTCCAGAATATTCAAAGAGGACCAAAAACGCCCATTAGAACTTCCACACATTGTTCAGCTGTGCCTGGACGTAAGAAGTGACTGAAGAAAAGAATGAAGACATAAGGAACACAGGATCCAACGCACACATCAGAAGTCAATATTACTCTATCCTTTGGATCTCTACTACTCCCTTATATTACAATCCACAGAAATTCTCCTATCCTATAATTCTGCACCATTATTTCAAGGGATGCATGCTAATCTAATCTAATGTGAAAAGACAACAATAAAAAGCTACATACTTGGCTTCAGCAACTGTCAAGAGAAGATTAAGGTCTTAGAAAGGAGTATTCCTGCAAGGCTGAAATAGACTATGAACAAATGTATTAAAGAGAAATAAATGAGAACAAGAATACAACAGAGACGCAGGGAGACGAAAGGGAGGGAAAAAAATAGTGAGCAAAAAAGAACAGAAGTCATAAATCCTGAAAAGAAAAAAAAATAGAAAACTGGAAGAGAGTATCACAGTACAATAAATGTTACAACAGAATCAATCATAAATATAGGAACACTAGCTGCAAAGCAGATGAGCCATAATTGGCTATAAAACCCACCAAGAGTAACAACCTGTCTTCATTCCTGAAAAGCACACCAAGAGATTTAAAGCCAAATGACCACCCTATCATATTCCTAGCTGCATCCACACCAGAGAGAGCTCAAGCAGCTATGCCAGATTTTTTTCCTGAAAGGGATAGGGAGGCAATACGTCTGAAAAAAAGGTCTTGCTGCAGGAACAAAGCAGTGTTGCCTGTCCAAACGTCCCCTGGTATCAGCCTCGGGGTTCATAACTCATCCCCTGGTTCCCCTGACCTGTGCACTTCACAGTGTGTGCCTCACCTGCCCACGTCCCTGGCACAGCCCAACACATCCCTGCTCAAACACCAGGTCTGCACACACCAGGTCTCACACTGCCACTCCTCTTACAAATCTCACCTCTTCCTTCTTTTAATTTTTGCCATGGGTCAAATGTATCTCTGTTTTTTTTGTTTGTTTGTTTTTTGTTTTGTTCTTTATAGAGTCCAAATTCTCATCAAGTTACAATACAGGAATATCAAGCTTTTATTCCCCATTATAACTGTAAAGACAACTTCATTAAAGACAACCTCATTTTTTTT